CACACTGAGGTTTTCCATCAGCCCACCTCTAGATATGAAGATACTTAAATGATAGTTGCTTTGACAAGTCGTCAAAAACAAAGTACCTTCTGAATCAAAAACAAAATAGGTTTCTGAAAGGGATTAGAGATTCTAATGAGGATACCTGAGGTGGGAGAAGGGAGCTACAATGAAAGTAGAAAGCACCAAAGGAAGTCTCTCTTCTATCTTAACTTATTGAGAACTATATAATAAGAGTTTTTGAAAAGAGGATGATCTGGGTTTTAATACCATCTGTGCCCAGTTTCCTACCCTCTCAATGACTTAGTTTTCTCAAAGGAAGACTTAGGATACTAATATCCATTTCATAGAAGTTTGGTGAGAATTAAAGCAAACAGCAGAGTCAGGCAAATTAAAGACACTGCACACACATTAGCTCATTTTTCCCTTCTACCTTGTCTTGCCTTCCGTCACTGAAAAGTTGACTTTTCAATTACCCATCAAATATACGGATACAACTATGCTGTTCTCAGATAAACCTTAAACACAAGTCTCTGGTGGGAATTCATTGACTGTTTCTTTATTAAAAGAAAGACTGCAACTAGAAAAATTTTCCAAACATGATGGCTTCCCCTCAGGAATCACTTCCACACTGTTGCACTCAGAGGTCCTGTCTGCCTGTTTCCCACCAGCAGCGACAAGATCCCTCCCTCTCTGGCTTCAGGCTGCCAAAAACCAGTAGGTCTTCAGGGCTAATGCTGCCTGAGTTGGCAGGTGTGAGTTCTATACACCTAGTGAGTAAAATCGACACCTGGCCAATTTGAATTTAAGGGTCACTTGGTTCTTTTAATGCCTCACAAAGGAGGCTGATGTTTCCAGTGACCTCCTCCTCACAAAGATTCTTCCAGGTGAACTACGCCAAATGTGTTTGGTCAAGTATGTTTGGAAAAAAGCCCATGAGCTGGCTGGTAGCCCAATATTGAAACAGATTTGATGAGTGCTGTTAAAGGTCAAATTGACTCCACAGTTAATCAAATCTACCAGCATCCTCCAGTCTGGCTTCATTTACAAAAAAAAAGCTACAGTTTCAAGTGATGACTAATTACATTTTCTTTCACTCATTTCCTTAATACAACTTTATAGACAAGTGCTCAAAGCCTCAGTAGCTCCCAAGTGCCTTCTACTGGGTTAAATATGAAGCTTATATTTCTACCTGTCTTATCACAAAACTTCATTTATTGGAAAAATAACCCACTTACTATAATCAAATTGGAATAACTGATTGCCTATTTTTAAGACATAAACTGTGTCTTAAAAAACCATGTGTGCTGTTGACCTTGGCCAATTAACCAATCCCATATCCATGGTCCTTTTTTTACATGGGGGATTCAGATGTCTCAAAAGGCCATCCTGCTTAAAAGTCTCCAAAAACTAAAAAGGAATCTAAGCCACCTTAAAAAATCTGTGCCCCTCCAATGCCTTGACTTGGTGTCTTGAAACAATGTACATACTGAAAATAATTTAAAAGGGTGTTATAATCACATTTGTAGAGTTGATTAAAAGCTCAAAGAGACAGGGAGAGCACTAGAAACACAGCCCCTTGACATTTGTGAGATACTCCTTATCTCATCCCTCTCCTCTCGTTATCCTCCTGCAGCTGCCTTATAAGGAGCTGTTGGTGGTCATTACCTGAGACAGAGAGGAAGTCATCCACTGAGGTGATGTCGTCCACAGCCTCTGTTAGCACTCGGACCTGCTTCTCCCACTGGTCCTTGAAGACGTCCATGTTATCCTGAGCGACTTTGCTCTGTGGTCGGGCAGCCAGTGTGAGAGCAGCATTGATGACCTATTTGTTAGAAACAATCCAGGGACATGATGACCACACTCTTCAAAAGAGGAACACGCAGGTCAAAGAATGTCAAAACCCTGGACCCTGTAGGCTCTAAGCATGAATAATTTCTCAGTGTTCGGAAGGAAAATCAAAAACACGGAAGATAAAGTAGGTTATCGACTACCATTAGTTTTTGTTTGCTTTGCTTCTTTTTAAGCTTTAACAATTAGCCTTAGGTTTCAAAAAGTATTTACTGGACAAACCCTATGTACTTAGCACAGATGTGGAAGAAATATAACTCTTGCTTTCCACATGTGCAAGCTCATAATTTAGTTGTTGAGACAAGGTAAATAGATAAGTAGCATTGAAATCACAACCTAAAACAAAGAACAAAGTCAATATGAGTGGAAGAGACAATAACTGCCACTGTAATTCTGAAGAGACTGGAGTAGTTAAGAGATTTTTTGAGAGAAGTAGAACTTGAAACAGACCATAATTGAGGTTTAGCATTTTCTAGGGAGAAGAAAGGGGGCAAGGAAAGGAGGGATGTGAGGGCTGGAGCATAGAAGGTCCCAAGCGTCAGGTCACCAGTGGACATTTCAAAGTGAATAAGGCTTACCTGGGGACACAGGCTGTCAATCTGGGTGGCTGCCATCCGGACTAATTTCACCCCTTCCTCATTGTTGGAGATGGAACAGGCCAAATTGGCAACCTGCATTGAAGAGGATTTGAATGAAAGTCATGTTGAGGAAAAGGGAAAATACAGTGTTGCATGGCCTTCCACCTTCTCTGGAAAATGTCCCTTCCAGGAGAATGCTTTCACAAATATGGTAAGGGCACCCCTCAGTGTTAAAAAAAATATATTACTTCTTATGCTAATTTAGGCATTTCTGTCAGAATAGCAGAGTTCTTATGTAAAACTGTTTCAAGATTCTCAAGAATATACAGTGATGCATTTTAACTGGGTTGTTTTGAACTCTTTTCCCTCATAGACTGCCCTGATCTGCCTATACTCTCAAGCTCCCTAAGACTCAAGTAAGAAAACTCTATGATCTTGGCCACATCAGAATGCAACTCTGACCAGTGAGAGAAATGCTACGGGCAGTGCTTTGGACTTAAAAGAAACTCACAGCAAGCTGAAAATTACAGTGCTCTGCCCAAGGGATCCTGGATCTGCCTGAAGATGCTAATCCACCAGTAACCAACCCGAATGCTTTTAGGGGTTGGGCAGATATGAGAAATGTGTAGAAAAGGCTGGTGTACATTCAATAGGCAATGATGAGATATATAGTAAAGTAAAACATGCAAGTCTAGTATAAAGACATTTAAATTTGATTTTTTAAAAACTTTATACCAGCCAAAAGAGCTGAACCAAATTCAAGTTGCCAGGTCAAGAGGTTCAACTAGTGCCATTCCTTGTCTTCAAGGTGTGAGTTGGTAATATAAGGGTAGATTGAGTGGCCAAGGTCAACGGCACACAAAGCCACTATCAAAACATGGATCAGTCCCATCAGGCTGGTACCCAGAGGACAGAGGAATGGGGATTAGAACAGTCAAAGAGAAAAAAAGGACAGCAAGGGCTGGGGCAAATAGAGCAAGTGACTGTCAGAGAAAGCAGCCCCAAAGCTTCTCAGCCACTTGCCCTTTTGATCCTGTTCACCACTAGTCTCCCAAACCAGGCTGCTTTCCTATGGTGCCTTAATGCCCAAGGAGATTAAAATGTGCTACCCATGTTCATAGTTCCTAGAGTGGAATAAACCTTAGTTAGGCAAAGTGAAGTCATGGGGAGAGTACAGAACTGGAGATCCGAGGCCTAACCACTAACCAGCTATGTAAGTCACTTCACGTTTGGAGGACTGTTCCTTATCAGAAAAATGAGATGGGCTGATGGTGATTGTAAGAATACTTTTAAGATTACTTCAATAAATCATTAGTGTGAAGAATCCTGTTTTGAAACTTTTAAGGAAGATGAAGGATGCATTATGACTATTACAGTGAGAATATATAGGAGAAATGGCAGCTGAATTGAGTTGCAAACACCATGTTGTTTCTTATATTTTATAGTTTAACTTTGATTCTTGATAATTTTTACTATTTTACTTAGTTTTCAAAGTAAGCGTGAAAAGACATTTGCCTTCTTGGGCCCATTCACAGGAAAGGATACTAAATGCCCAGGGGCATGAAGCTTCTTTTTTTTTGTTATTTCAGCATATTATGGAGGTACAGATGTTTAGGTTACATATGCTGCCCTTGCCTCCCCCTACTCCCCAAGTCCAAGTTTCAAGCGTGTCCATCCCTTGGATGGTGTGCATTGCACTCTTTGTGTACGCAAATACTGTTCCCCTCCCCCCACACCCAACATCCAATAGATATTATTCTTATATGTACACTGATGTGTTGATCAGTTAATACCAATTTGATGGTGAGTACATGTGGTGCTTGTTTTTCCATTCCTGGGATACTTCACTTCTTAGAAGCAGAGCAGGGACCAGTATTGCAGGTATCCTAATTTCAATTCTTTTAGTTGTATCATTTTCTTCACTCCACATTGATTAATCTTTGTTATATTTATATTATATATTCAAGTATAATTTATATCGCAAGTGCCCGATTCAGTGCATGACACAGAATTGGTGCTTCATAAGTGTTTATTAAATGAATTAAATAATATTTGTTATATTTATATTATATATTCAAGTATAATTTATATCGCAAGTGCCTGATTCAGTGCATGACACAGAATTGGTGCTTCATAAGTGTTTATTAAATGAATTAAATAATAGCTTTTAATTTAGAATTTACCTTATACAGTAATTTGGAATGTACCATGGATGAAAGATACTCTCAAAGGTATAATTGAGTTATACCTTTAATTTGGCTAGACAAATTTTTACCATCGAACAGATATTCAACAACTCCATGGTGTTAAACAATGGTTCCTAGGCCAAGCGCGGTAGCTCATGCCTGTAATCGTAGCACTCTGGGAGGCCAAGGCGGGTGGATCACTCAAGGTCAGGAGTTCGAGACCAGCCTGAGCAAGAGGGAGACCCCGTCTCTACCAAAAAATAGAAAGAAATGATCTGGACAACTAAAAATATATATAGATAGAAAAAATTAGCTGGGCATGGTGGCTCATGCCTGTAGTCCCAG